GCGAATCGCGATCGTCGAACTGCGACGCTGGCCAAAAGTGGCTCCGCGGCCAACTCACCATGGTACGTGCGAAATGAACCAGGTGTCAGGCATGAAAAGGAAGCGGCCTTTTCAGCAAAAGGGGACTAGCTCGAGTTCGAACTGCGGAACGTGCCGAACGGACCTGACAAGACAGCCATGTGCTCAAGCAAAGGATGAAATTTCACAACAGGAATAAATGAGAACAAGCATGACTTGACACAAACAAATCATCAAGAACAACCTTTGGCTGCTTGAACCATCACAAACACGGGTTTCTCTTGTGCAACGACTGTCCGGAAGATATGTGCGGTGCTTCTCGGGGTAGATCCACAGCTCTTGATCTAGTGGTAACTCGGGCCATCCAACCTGGCTTCACTAAACCCCCGTCTTTAGCAAATCCAATAATTTCACCTCTGACAGTTAAATACGAATGCCCCCCCCAACCAAACCTGGCTTTGCCTGATCTGCAAATGCCGGTACTTCCGATGGACTTCCGATCGAACTCCGCCACTCCCACCGTCTTCCGAAGCGTGTCTCCGGAGCGGCGCGCCCGAGCGCGACAGGTGATCCGAGCGTCGCAGGTTCGGCGTGACCAAGGCCAAGGCAGCGGTGCGTTGGGCATTCAGCATTTGTTCCATGGTGTATTTCAGCTCCTGGCGCTCATGGAGCTGAGGTTCAGGCTCAGTAGCTCACCAACCATCCATCACCCACAAAAGGTGTTTCAATCCCTCTCAGCCCGAAATGCAAATCGGGTGGGTCCCTTCTTGGATCTGGGGTCCTCCTTACACATCCCCTTACACATCCAAGCCTTTCCAATCAACAATGTAAGTCCCAAGCACTCTGCACTCAGAATCCCAAATCTCGGACTTCAATAGTTCACAATAGTTCAATCCACAAGAACTTCTCACCTCCCTCCAGGGTCGGAGCCCCGCCCCACGCTGCGCCGGGGTGGTTCCTGGAGCTGCACCGGGGTGGCAGGCCCCACGGTCGTGTGCTCCGCCAGGAGCGCCGAGTCCTTTTGGGCGTCACCAGAGCGGGCTGGATGGGCCAAAACGCCAGGTCCCAAAAGCGATCACCAAACAAAGCAGATACTCAATCAATCACTTAACCAACCAAGCAGTTCAAATCAAATCAGTTCAATTCAATTCAAATCAATCAATCAATCAAATCCCATCAAATCATATCATTGGCCTATTGATCGTTCAACAGCTGCATTCAGTCGCCCACTCCCAAACACTTGGTCCAGCTCACCGAAAGTTTGGAGACTTTGACAGATTGACCGTTGTCTTTGACTTGATTTGGAGGCAACGTTGGTTTGGGGGAGTGTGTTTCATTGGGCTCTTTTGTATGTACGTGGGCGGGTGTCGAAGGGATATATGAGTTTCCGGAGTTGTCGTTGGACACTTTTGATTCTCTCACACCCTTGCACCTGGCGATCACAAAGAGTTGTATACCGACCTTGAAGTGGATCGAGTGTGGAACTGGAACTATTCAAGAGTTTGACTACACTATGACAGCTGTTCTTGGGCTGTCCCGCATTAACCTAAACAAGGATGTCTCCACACATGCTTGCTCTCTGGTGCATACTTGTACCCGTCAAACTGGCCACCAAACAAATCCAAAAAGTGTTTACGACTCCTGCAAAAAAGAGCCCTGAATTCTTCCTTCCTATCTCCCATGTATCTTTCGGATTGGCAAACGGTTTTCTACAACCTAGCTTTCAGTATCCCAAGTGATTTTTCCTTTGGACACTTGTTTCATCACGCCGAGCCGACCATCCAAGGATCTAACTTCACCTTCACCATCTTCTCTGGACCTCGAGCGGCGAAAAAAACCCATGGGACCCAACCCCTCTCCAGAGCCTCTGGCTTTCTGCTTTCCAAGTCTTTCTGATTTACACAAGGGTGATCTCTAAACTGGGATACACGTCCACCATCTTGGTTGACATTGACGTCGAACAGCAGCACATCCGCACGGGTGGAAAAGTCGCTAGCTGCTCAACGCAGCAACCTTCACATCCAACGTGGTGAGGTCGTCGAGCCTTGCCCCATAATCCAACGTGGTTCTGAACATGTTGGAGCCCCCAACTGCTCACATCCATTCCTTTCAGTGTTCGTGACAGAGCTGGGTACCCCCCTTTTATCCAGAAACATGGAACACCCACGGGCGCAAGGAGTTTCCCTCAACAGGTCTGTGAGTCCTGTGTGTCTTCAGTGCCGCGCTCGCAACGTGTTGAACGTTGCAGCCATCCGCTGGGCACCCAGGCTGCTGAGATACATCGGCGAAGCGATGGAACCCAACGCACCTGTCCGACTTCTCGACCCGGCGGGTCCGAGGGCCCCGGCTGCGGAAGACCGGGGTAAAATCAGTGAGAAACCAATCCAGCGGAAAGACCTCCGAGAAAACACCCATCAGAATGTCTGTCTTAACCTGTCTAAGAAGCGTTTCTTGTTCTGTGCGGCATGTGGCGGCACGGTGATGTGATGGACGTGCCCGACTCACACGTTCAACGGACTGAAGCGAAGAAACGTTTTTGTGGCCCGACTCGATTGAGCTTCTACTCGATGTGCGATATTTTCTTGCTGTCGGGCGGCCGTTTTGGAGCAGGTCTTCGTGGATGAAGTCCAACATGAAGCTCCTCGGTGTGACGAACCGTTATATTTTTTAGGTGTGGAGGTTTACAGTTGACCTGATCGGTACAGTAATTAAACAATTTGGAAGTAACTTTAAGCGCTCATACTGAGGTGCTTTCCAAGAATTTGAGGCGTCCGCTCCACTCACTTGTGGTCAACCCCAAACATCCCCAAGCCAAGCATCACAGGTGTCTCCCTGGATTTCTGCAGGGCGGAGGTGGACTTTGCCCGCTGAGTTCGAAGGGAAACCATTTGTTTTTCACCCGATTTCACCCGTAGTTTTGGAATCAAACGCCGGCTGGGAAGGGATGTTTTGAGGATGGTCTGGCAGGGCTAGTGGCTAGCGGCTTGAAAGAACGACAAAACAACCCGGTTCACATGAAGGGGCCTCCATATTTCCTCCTACCCTCCAAGGCACAAAGGCAAAGATCACCTCAAACCCTCAACCAACAAGACTTGACACAACCCCTTGCGGACTACATGTCCCTGCTTCTTCTGAGGAGTTTGGGTCACCAAAAAGCCCACCCACCTGGCCACCCGCCCCACCCGCGGAACGGCCCCCGTAGCGGTTGAAGGCGCATGCTGTCCCAGACCGGCGGCTGAAAAAGGCCCCCCTCGGAGGTCAGCGGTTTCTCGGAGGGGGTCGTGGGGTGGAACACAGGCTGGAGGCGCTGGAGGCTGGAGCGGTTCGGGACGCTTTCGGATGGGTTTGGGGGTAGTTGACATGCCAAGGAACACACCGAGGACCAACTGTTTGGAGTCACCAAAGGACTATACTAAATCCGAGTCGATTTTCACTTGAGCATCCTGGATGGATGGTAGAACGGAAGAACATGGCTCTTCTTCGGATGGTGCTCTACACAGGTCTACTATGAACATCTATGAACCACCTGCTGGGAGCCCGGAAGTTCCTGTGGTGCTTCTTTTTGGGGAGGGTAGCTGGTCTCCTTGAAACATGGAAATCCAATGAATATATTTCGGTTTGGCCTGAATGCCCTTCCACCACTTGAGAAGTTGGTTCTGAGAGTCTTGAAGTAAGAGCTGATGACAGGACATCCACCACCAGGGTTGCAGGGGCGAGCTTCCCTCATTTCCTACCTGTACTTGTTGGAAACCTCAGCACCACCTGGATTCACATGGCCAGCAGCTTGGCTTGTTGGAATCCAATCTTAAACAGGATTTCCTGGAATTCATTCCATGAAATCACCTGCTGCTCCAGTGGCAGCGAAAAAGATACGGCCCAATCCCCACCGACTCTGCCGTCGCGATCCCGCACCGAGCTCGGCTTCGGCCCAGGCGGCTT